ACGGGGGGAGTGCGAGGAGGAAGGACAGACATGGGGGAGTGCGTGGAGGAAGGACATACAGGAGGCTGGGCAGACGGGGGGAGGGCGCGGAGGAAGGACAGACAGGGAAAGGACTGGGGGAGTGCGCGGGGGGAGCAGGAAGAGGACGGGGGGAGTGTGCGGGTAGCAGGAGAAGGACAGTGGCAGCAGGGAAGCGGCAGCAGGACAGGCTCCCGTCGTTCGTTTCCCACGTGGCTCGGTCGCCTGTCGGCGCGAGGTGCCTCGCGCCCGCGCGGGGGAGGGAGGGGGGGATATGCCACCCAGGAGAGCCCTCTGTGGAGCCACCTTGGAGGCGTGTTGCTGACGAAGGCTTTGGTGAGGCCACCTCATCAAGGATGAGGAGGGGGAAGTAATTGGACGACTCAGGGTATTTTGAGTTGCCCTCGAATACGGTCGAATAGCTTCGATGGGCTCTTGTGGTTCCCACTTGGTTTAGGATGTGGTGGAGGTTACCAGGCTGGATGGGGACGGTACTATGATGTTGACGGTGCTGGTGGTGATGACGGTAGTGGTGGTGGTGGTGGTGAAAGGGGATGGGGTGAGAAAGAGAGAGAGAGAGAGAGAGAACGATATACACATACATATATATATATAGAGAGAGAGAGAGAGAGAGACATAGAGAGAGAGAGAGAGAGAGAGAGAGAAAGAGAGAGACCGATACACACAATCACGCACGCACGCACGCACGCACGTACGTACGCATACATACATGCATACATACATGCATACACACATACACACGTAAATGCATACATACATACATACATACATCCATACATGCATTCACACATACACGCATCCACACATGCATACACACATTCACATACACATACACACACATGCATACGTACACACACGCATACACGCGCACACACATCTATATAGCTATATGGACATCCGCATACGTGCATACTTACACATACACACACACGTACACGCATACATACATACGCAACCATGCGTATATACATACATACATGCATGCATGCATCCATCCATCCATACATACATACATGCACCCATCCATACATATATATATATATATGCATACAGGTATGCGTACATACATACATACATCAAACCATACGTACACACGTACACACATACACACATACACACATACACATACATACATACACACCCGTACATACATACATACACGTATGCATACAGACACGCAACCACACATACATACATACATACACACATACATACACTAATACACATGCACACATACATACATACACCAACACATACACACATACATACATCCATACACTCGCATACGTGTTTACCTACCTACGTACCTACCTACCTACCTACCTACCTACCTACCGACATACATACATACATACATACATACATACATACATACATACATACATACATACACCCATGCATGCATGCATGTATGTGTGTTTACATACATGCATACATCCATACATTTGTACGCATACAGGTATGTATTATGTCTGTCTACATCTGCACACATTTGGCAGGGGTCCCTCTTGAGATCTACTTCAGGGTCCTCAGCGTGGGCTGGTGTTTTTTGCTCTTCTGGTTTTTCTGGGGGTCGCAGTTCAGCCTTCCTCTCGTCTCCCGCCTGTGGTCTGCTCTGCGGGTCGGTCAAGCAGAAAAGATAAAACACAAACATCCCACAAACAAGCGTACGTCGCCGCGCGTGCCGTGCAGTCGTAGGCCTTACCACGCGCCAGGGATCAACCCGGTGTGGACTCAAGCGTGGGCATCGTTTGCGGCGATGCTGTGCTGGGCTTTGTCTTCAATTGCTCTGGGCCCTCCGTGGGTCGTCGCCCGGACTTCCTCTCGCCGCCCGACGGTGGTTTTAGCGGGAGAGAGTGCGCCCAGGCCCTTCACGAACACATGAGAGCATCAGTCTAAACCCGACGTTGAGAAGGTACTCCTCCTCCTCCTCCTTCTCCTCCTCCTCCTCCTCCGCAGCAGAACTCCAGCTGTATGTCCACCACGCAGGGGGTCAAGGCGTGGCGGACATGATGATGATGGTGGTGATGATGCTGATGATGATGATGATGATGATGATGCTGATGATGCTGATGATGCTGATGCTGATGCTGATGCGGCTGATGATGCTGATGCTGATGCTTCTGATGATGATGATGATGTTGATGCTGATGATGATGCTGATGATGACTGATGATGATGCTGATGATGATGATGCTGATGATGCTGATGATGATGATGACGATGATGAGGAGTAGTAGTAGTAGTAGTAGTAGTAGTAGTCGTAGTCGTAGTCGTAGTCGTAGTAGTAGTTGTAGTCGTAGTCGTAGTAGTAGTAGTAGTAGTAGTAGTAGTAGTAGTAGTAGTAGTAGTAGTAGTAGTAGTAGTAGGTAGTAGTATCGTAATCGTAGCAGTCGTAGTAGTAGTAGTAGTAGTAGTAGTAGTAGTAGTAGTAGTAGTAGTAGTAGTAGTAGGTAGTAGT